AAACACGGTCAGCCATGTGGGTGTCCAGTGATGTAACCACTATGTTATCTGCTGGCTCCTTAATTATTATTTTCTAACTTGTTCTTTGTGCCTAACTGCTCTCTACATAGATTGAACTTATTGAGGGTGGCTATTACACTTTCCATAAAGAATCGAGAATTGTGCTATTTATTAAATAGGGACATAATTTGTTGATCAAGGGTATCTACTAAAAGATGTCATTTCATCCAAATTCTCCAGTATCTTATTAATAAGAGAAACATATTTATGTTTCACTTCTGCCTTTCTTTCCCTTCCCATCAATCATCACTTGAGAAAGTTGTCAATGAGTAGAGATACATTTAAATAATAGGCAGAAAGAAAGGAAGACAGAACCAAAGGCTAGGATGATTGACTTCTGGAGTGATATCCCCTGAATTTCAGAAACTTAACCATCTGAAAAGATCTCATTCATCAGTAGCAAAAAGTAATGAGATTACTTAATATTATATATTAGATAGTAGAAATAAAAGAACCTTGCATTATTTAAAATAACAAACTAAGCTCTTTAGTGAAGGATCTTTATTTTCTATCAAACTACAGATAATTTAAATGTTTCCTAATACAATAAGCCTCAGCTACTCAGATCATTGGGGACTGGAGAGCCATTGGCTAATTTAATTTTCTGGTTTGCTGAGGGTGAACTGAAAACCCTCTTTGTGTGTCAACCTTGTTACTGACAGTCTTTATAAAATGTTTGAGTCTACTTTTCAGTCTTAGTAAGTACAATATGATTAACATGATTGAATCTTCCTCTGATGACTGAAGCTACTTTAATGTGTCAAGATCAATTCTGATAGAATTAACTCTGAGCAGTTGACACACTCTATGCTAAGCCCAAGGCACAGGCTGAGAGTTGCCTTTTTGAGTAAGTTCCTGACTTTTTTTTTTTTTTTTTTTTTTTTTTTTTTTTTTTTTTTTGAGTTTGGAGAGGTTTTGCTAGAGGGCGTGTGCACTTGCCAGAAAGACAGAGAGAGACAGAGCGATAGAAAGCGAGAAATCATCCCCCAGGGGGGATGGCTGCACAGCAATTCTTCTCCTCCATTCTCCTCTCGGGATCTTGGGCATGCATGCACACACGCCTGGCATGAGTTTAAGCCACCAGTTCCGGTACTCGAACTGTGGGCACTTACATGGGAGTCCAGCAACATAGCCATTACACTAACTGCTGGTCCCAGTAAGTTCCTGATTTTAACTTATGCATGCATTTTTTTCTGTAAAGGTTTAAAAATGTAGAAAACAAAAACTCTGTTATTTCTTCTTCTTAAAAAGGATTAGAAAAACAAATCTAGTTGATTGATTGATACTTATTCACTCATTGAAAAATGGATTGTGGAGCCTGGGGCTGCGTGAAGGCCCAGGTCAACATTTATGTGGGGCAGCTAATGTGGGTAGGTCTGTGGGTAGGTCACCGGTGGTTACTGTGAGTTGAGCCCAAGAATGAAGGGTGGATCAAGGACTCCAGCTACTTGCCGTGACACAGAAATATGCTCTAAGCCATGACCCTGGTGGCCATGGCTGGGCACTGCTTCACTCATAGGGCCTAGGCACTAGCCTTATAATTGCTGTCAAGATATGCCCAGGATCAGGATTTGCACGCACATAAATGATCCTACATTAGGATCCAGAGTTTCTAGACCGCATGGCTTCCATGATTAGCTCTGAATTCTCAGCACTCAGAGTGAATGTGGCCCGTGGCCCTGCTGCTCCCCTCTGCATTCTGGTCTTACCTCCCAGGTCTGACTTGGGGAAATCTACTTAGATCTATGGCTCCAATGTTGATTTTCTAGACATTCCATATTGTTGATGAGGTGTCTGAAGCATAAAAAGTGATCACCATGCACCCTGCAAGATCTCTGCCAAGCCACGCCCACACTACATCTTTTCACCTGGTCAATGCCTGGAGGCTAGGACAGTGGGATCACCTGATTCACCAAACTCAGCTCCCACTTTATTTCAGGGAACCAACTTGGACTAATACTCTATCACTTCTTTACTGGAGACTTTCATGCATGATCTGGAAAGCTGCCTTAAAAAAAAAAAAAACCAAAAAACTTCAATATATGACTACCAGGCAGGTCTGCAGACTTAGGCCATCTTTATAGTTGCCATATTCCTTTTCGGACCTGACTTTATTTATTTATTTTTTTTTTAAGATATTTTTTCTAGGGCACATGTGCTCTCTGGAGAGACCAAAAGAGAGAGAGAGAGACAAAAAGTGAGAAATCATCCCCCAGGGCAGATGACCATGCTACAATCCCTTCTCCCCTACTCTCCTTCTGGGATTCTGGGGATGCATACACTCACACCCAGTGTGAGTTTCAAGCTGCCAGGTCTGGGACTTGAACTTTGGTTGGCCATGTGGGAGTCCAGAGCCTTAACCAACATGCTGCCTGCTGGCGCCCAGAGACTGTGACTTTCAAGCCTCAAGTTAAATGTGCAAAAACCTTTAGTTTGTAAACTATGCCTCAGATAAGGGACTGATAACCAGAATATACAGGGAACTCAAGCAGCTTACTTGAAAAAAAATTAATCAATCCAATTAAAATATGGGCACATGAGCTCAACAAACAACTCTCTAAGAAAGAATACAACAGCTAAAAAGTATATGAAAAAATACTCAACATTTCTTGTCATATGGGAAATGCAAATTAAAACCAGTTGATATACCACCCAACCTCAGTCAGAATGACTTGGATTAAAAAAAAATAAAGAATGGTAAGTGACGGTGAAGGTGTAATGAAAGAGAACTCTCCTACGCTGTTGGTGAGAAGGTAAGTTAGTTTAGCTACTGTGGAAAATGATATGGAGGTTCGTCAAGAACCTACAAATAGAACTACCGTATGATCCAGTAGTTCTACTTCTGGGTATCTACTCAAAGGATAGGAATATACTAAGTTGGGAAATCACATGCACACTTCTGTTTACTGCAGCTTTATTTACAACTGCTAAGATATGGAAACAACCCAACTGTAAGAACAGATGAATGGATTAAAAAATGTTGAATATACAGTACTATTAGTCATAAAAAACAATGAGATCTTGGCATTTGATATGAAGTGGATGAATATAGATTTAATGTTACTTTTTATTATTTAACTTTATTTATTTATTTATTTATTTTTAATTTGACCAGAGAGGGACAGAGTGAGAGAGCGAGAGAGTGAGTGGGGCAGTGAGAAAGAAAGAAGTGAGAAAGAATTGTGGTTGGCCATATGGGAGTCCAACGCCCTTAATCAGCATGCCACCTACCGGCCCTGGAAGATTTTATATTAAGCAAAGCAAGTCAGAAAGAGAGGCATTGTATGTCCCCATTTAAAATATACCGAATGTCTGCACTCGAAGGCAGAAATGGAAAGACTGGAAGATATAGACGCATGGAGAGCAACTGTGGATACTAGGGACAGCGTGGGCAGAGGGTAGGCAATTGGGGAGAGTGGTGGGTGAGAGGGAATCAAGGGAAAAACAACGCAAAACATTTGATGGAACACAAAAATAAAAAACTGTCAATTATAATGTATATAGTAATATTTTTGACTGGACTAATATCAATGTATTCATGCTGGGAAAATTCATTTTGTATGCTGTAAAGATGTAAAGGGACTAAATGGAAAAAATAATAAGAAAATAAATGAAATTTTAAAAAGTCTGTAGTACAAATTTTGCCAGTCTTATTCTACCAATACTAATAATTTGTAATTTATTTGGGATACACACACACACACACACACACACACATTTAATATATAAAATCATACCAATTGAGACCTCAGAACAGAAACTTTTTAAAACAGAAAGGAAGTAGTATAACACATTTTAAGAAGATTCTCATTAATCAGAACCATAGAAATAACAAGGGACCAATTAAAAAAAAATCAAGAAACTATAAAAAAATTGATAAATTCATTGAAATAAGATGTAACACCTATGCATGATGAAAACACCTTCAGCTGAGTTCACAAACAAAGAGTGAACAAGAGAAAATACTTGTAACTCATAAACAAAAGGCTAACCTACCTTTGTGAAAACAGGTCTCAGAAATTGAATGCTAGGAAACAAAACAAAAAATGCACCCCGCAAGAATAATGGCAAAGAAAACAAAAATCGCATTACAGAAAAAAAGGAATATAAATGGCATTTAAAACACAAACATATGTTCAGCCTCGCATACACTAAGAAAAATGTATATTTAAACTATTCTGAGATACAATTTCTTACCTATCAGATTATAAAAACCTCAAAGTTTGAAAACACTCCCTCTGCCAAGGCCATTGGAGAAATAAGGACTCAAACAAGGACTTTGCATTCCTCATAGAAATGTGAAATAGAGGGAAATTGCAAATATTTACCAAAGTTACAGTTGCATTTATATCTGTCTCATCAATCCTACTTTTGAGAATTTATCTCACAAATAAATCTGTACTTTGTGAAATTGTGTGTGCATATTGCAGTATTGTTTGTAAAATATTGCAAGATATTTGGAAACATCTGTTAATGTAGTGGGCATGAATACACAAACCAGGGAATGATATAGAGCAGTTAAGAAGAATGAGAAAGCTTTCGATTTACTGATATGAAAAGAACTCCAACTGCAGAACCATGCTGTGTTTTGTTTAAAACAAAGAAGAAATTTAAAATATGTATTTCTCTGTCTTCATAGTTTCATAAACACTAAAAGATATAAAAGCAATGCAACATAAAAAAATTGATAAATAAAATTAGTCACCAGTAAATGTTCCAAAATGTTTTGTTTATTATATTACTGGGACTTAAGAGCTGAAAAATAGTCACTACTTATAGGGATACTTTGTGTTACTATTTTAAACTCAGAAAACACATTTTCACCTTGACAAGGAGAGAGAAACCTCAGTCATCTGTCTTCATATTTTAAGCAATATAAGAGAAAGAGGATGGGTAAAGGTAGTCAAAATACGTTCTATAGTTTTTAAAAATACACTTACTTTAATTGCTGAATATAGGGAATAGCCATAATGCTTCTTGAACTCTGCTCGAATGTCCAAAAGATCTATTTCTGATCTGGAAACCATTATTCGGTTCAGAGTAAATTCGTCAGTTCCAGCACCCTGTTAAGAAATGCAGACGCTCACAAGACAAATCTCACTGGTCACAAAACAACATGTAGGCCTATAAGAAATACTGGGTTGGTGGAAAATTCATAAAGCATTTTTGATGGAAAAACAGAAAATATACATCATGACTTTTCTGACAACCCAACAGATAGTGGTGCACATAATGTTCAGCCACAGTGATTCTTTTCTACTGGTTTTCCACCAAATTTCATCATTCATTTATTTAAGAACTATTTATTAAGCACCTATTCAGTGCCAGCACCTTGCTAAATGCCAAAAAACAAAGTGAGATATCCTTGTTAGACTTCCACTTTTGTAAAGAATACTGACAACAAAACAAAAACCCCAGAAAATAAAAACAAACAAACAAAAACAGACCATTTCAAGATAGTCTGACATACAGGGAATATCAGGTACTATATATGTGAGCATATGTTAGGAAGGCTGTTATGGTTTGGACAAAGGTTCTTCCCCCACTGTTTCATGCTTTGAAATTTGGTCTTGGTAGGTGGTGATTGGACACCTCCTAGATATTCTATATTGGGACTTAATTGAATTGATTGCATTGTACAGGTATGTTCATGAGAATGTAATTCCTTCATGTTGTTCCCAGCTAGTCTTTGGGTGTGATAAGGTCATTAGGGCAGGGCCCCTGTGATGTGTTTATAAGGGAGAGGAGATCTAAATAGGCAGAAACTTATGGACAGCCAATCTGCTCAAAATTCTGTCCTTGGCTATTTTGTGATACCTTACGATCTTGCACAGGGCCAGATTCATAAGTGAAATAAACCTCTATTGCTTTAAAATAATCTAGTTTCAGATATATCTGAAAATAATGCACAGACTAAGACATATTTTAAATAATCAGACAGTGAAAGAAAGGGTGGATTCATTTAGACAGGAGAGAATGCTCCAATAGAGGAAATATATGGGTGAAGGTTTAAAAGTAAGAAAGAATTCTGTATTCAAGGATACATAAATAATGAAGAGTGATAGCAAGAGATGTGTCTGGAAAGGCCAGATCTGGTGAAATAAAATCTTATTTTCTGACTTTATCTGAAGTGAGAAGAACTATCAAAAAAATTTGTAAACAAGGAGTGTTGAGATCAGATCAGATTTATGGTTTTATAAGATCACTTTGACAGCAGTATGAGGAATGGGTTGCAGGTTGGGAGTAGGGTGAAGATGAAGGAATGAGATTAGAAGTTTTAGAGCTCACCTGGAAGCGATACGGTACTAAAAGAAAGGTATGATGATAGCAGTAGGGATGAAGAAAATGGCAAGATTTGAGAGATGTTTATATAAGTACACTGATAAAATGTGATGCTGTATCATTGAGGATAATGAAGGAGAGGGAGAGTGTAAAATTTCTAGCTGAGCAGTTAGGTGGAGGTTGATTCTATTCATTCATTCATTCACTCATTCATTCATTCATTCATACAACAAATACTTATTGAGCATCCACTATATTCCAGGCATTGTCCCATGTAATGTGCATATGGTAGTGAACAACCAAGATTATATCTCTGCTTTCATGGAGCTTTTGTTCTAGTAGATGGAGACAGACAATAAAGTAATTATTTAAGTAAATAGTAATTAAGAACTATGAAAAAACTAAGGCAGGAAAATGGAATAGAGAGTGACTAAAATGAAATTAACTGGTCTAGAGTAGCCAATGGAGATGTCTCTCAGGAGGAGACATTTGAATCAAGATCTAGAAGATAGGGCCAGGCCAGCCTATGGCTTCATGGTTATGTGAGCTGGATCACATATGACTGACTGCACAGCTCAAGTCCTATCCTAGACCTGGTGGCTTGAAAAACATATCAGATGCAGGTATGTGTGTGTACAAAATCCCAAAAGAAGGGAGAAATGGTGGAGAGAGACTGTGTTGTGACCATTCCATGGGGATGCTTTCTTTCATTCCACCTCTCTCTCTCCAGTGAGCACATATGCCATTTAGCAAAATAAAAAAAAAAAAAAAAAAAAAAAAAGGAGGGGAGTCAACCTTGTAGTCTATTGGTTAAGGGAGCTGGACTCCACATGGCTAATTGCAATTCAAATCTCAACCCCAGTGGCTTGAAAAACATGCCAGGCGTGTGTGTCCAAGACCATGACAGAATGAAGAAATGGGAAAGAGACTGTGGTGTGACAATACCCATGGGAGGGGGGTGATTTCTCCCTCTTTCTCTGTTTTCTCCGTCTCTTACACTTAGGTGAGTACATGTGTCCTCTTGTGATTAAAAATAAGAACAAAACAAACAAACAAAAAAGACCTGAAGGATGAGAAAGAACCAATCGTAGACAGATCTGGAGGGGAGGTATTCCTAGCAGAGAGGATAACAATGTATGAATTAATGTGGTATAGTCAAGGACCAAAAAGGAGACTGAGGTGGCTGAGACATAATGAACAAGGCTGGGGACAAACAGTACAAGCTCTGTGCACCGGGCAAGGACGATTCCTTTCACGACAAGCCACTGAGATGATTGAAGGAGGGCAGTTTGGGATGGGGCATGAGGTGAGTAAAATGATATGTTCACTTTGGATATTATATAAAGATACATGTGTGGTATGGCTGGGGAAATAATCTCCCAAAGTCTCATGTTCTGGAAGCTCAGTCCCGAGTATAATGGCTTTGGGAGGTAGAGAGGCCTTTCAGAGGTGGGGCCTAATCGGAAGGTATCATTCAATAGGCTGTGGGTATGGGAAGGACAAACAGGAAGTGGGAAATTCTGCCTCCTCTAAGCATGTGTCCTCCCTCCTCTCAGCTTCTGCCAGCCATGTTGGGATGTAGTATCGGGCTGGCCTGATATTGGCCCTACACCTTTGGACTTTCCAGCCACCAGCACTGTGAGCCAAATATACCTCTATTGTTTATTAATCACCCAGTCTCAGATATTTTCTGTTAGCATCACAATAACTAAGTGACACAATGGGGAACCATAGGAATTGTCCAGTAAATAAATCAAAGCAAGCATTTTCTATATGTAAGGCTGTCCTAAGGGCTGAAGATACCCAAGAGCATATTCTCCTGGAGTTTACCATCTACCAACAAAGGCAGACAAGAAAACATGGGGTTATAATATTCTATCAAGGTTGCCAACTCGGCTCGGTTTATTTTAAGTAAGGCAGCTTGAGAGGTCACTGGGTACAGTGGATCATGTTAGAGGTTTGATATTCTAAAAGAACTTCTCTTACTGTGAAGTGGCAGAAATAATGCAGTCAACACTTTCCTGTAGCTAGTTCTATATTGAATAGAACACTCTCTATTAACCTAAGAGACAAATTAGCTACAAAAGAGAACTTATCAAAGTAGAAAAGAAATATGACATTCCATCAATATGAAGCAATATTTTTACATTCGCCTTGAGGCATACTAAAATCGCATATGAAATTTCCAGACTAACCTTCAAAGCTTGATGCAGTCTTCGGGCTAAAAAGGCAGGCGTGTTCCTCACACAATGAACTGTTATTTAAAAAAAAAACAAGGTTTGGCTTCATTTAATAGAAAGTGGGTTAATCTATAGTGATATGTTTTAAAAAATAATAAAAGATTCTTTGGGCTGTCATTCCATTTTACTCCCTCCCTTCTCCACTACTGGCTTTTATTTAGGATGAAAGAAAGGCTGCTTAACCTGAATTTTAAACCTTTCTAACGTCATCTTTGCACGTAACTTTAGCACAGTAATTATCTTCAGCCATGGGGAAAATAAAATTACCTGCCAAATAAACTCCCACAGTGTGTGACTCATCTCTGGATCCCAGACACACCAAACACCTACGCTTACATTGATAACTCCCCAGGGAGTACCAGCGCTCAATTTTTAACATCTTTGGCTACTGATGAATAACCTGGGCCTGACAACTGATGTTGCTCCAAATAACTCATTAGGTAGAAGGGGCACTGGAGTTCAACTGAAAATTGTTTCCAAAGGAAAGATTTTTTTCTTCCTTTTTTCTTTGCTATAGGGTACGTGTGCTTTCTGGAGACAGAGACAGAGAGAAAGAGAGAGACAGATACACACACAGAGCGAGCGAGCAAGCAAGTGAGCGCGAGAGAGCACTTCCCTGGGGGATGGCCATCCCACAATCCCTTCTCCTCCATTCTCCTCTCAGGATTTTGGGCATGAACAGTTTGTTTTTTAAGCTGCTGGGTTTGGGACCAGAACCGCACAGCTGGCCATGTGGGATCCAGTTGCCTTAACACTAGGTCACCTGCAGGTGAAAGATTTTCTTTTCAGTGACTGGATTAGGATTTATAGGCTGGTTAGAGTAACTACATTAGAATCATCAGGTGTATTTTTTTTTAGTATTTTTTATTCTATTATTATTCAATTTGACCAGAGAGAGAGAGAAAGCAAACCACCAAGTCCAGGACTCAAACTGAGGTCCGCCATGTGGGAGTCCAGCACCTCAACCACCATCACCTGCCGGCCTGATTATGCGTATTCTTAATTCAGTCATTAAGATACATGAGACTTTCAATTCTTTATTTTAAAATAACAAGTACAGCAAAAATAAAAAAAGAGTAAGTTGACAAAAACATAAGTACATTTATTATTCTTTAAATAAAGTGAAAACAGTCCACATAAAAAAGTCTGTTTGGCATAAACCTATTATTGCAACATAGTTATTTTAAAAATCTTAAATCTAATCTGCAGGTAGGAAACTGAACAAAAGTTAAGGGATTTCAAAATGAATTTTGGTGTCCAGAACAAGAATAAGTAGCTTACCCATATTCTTAAGGAAAGCTAAAAGATTTCCCTGGTTTGTGAAAGTGATGGAAGGTGAAGTGTATTAGAAACCCACGCATGGAAATCTGGGACAATCTATGAAAACTCTTAGATATGAAGCTGTCTGAACAAGGAAACCAACCACTTAATTTGGTACTCCCTAATTTTTCTCAAACTTGTATTAAGTTAGTCTTAATAATCTGATAAAAAAAAATCGGTATGTCCTCTTCCATGCTGAGCTTTTCGATCACCCCTCAACTAGATTTTTATTATAATTTTTTAAGTTGCCAAAGGATACGTGTGTGTGCCAGAGAAGAGACAGACATACGGGGGTGGGGGGGAGAGAGAGAGAGCGCACATCCCCACAGGGGGATGGCCACGTCACAATCCCTTCTCCATTTCTCCATCCTATGGGTATCTGGGACATGCATGTGCATGTGTCTGGTATTGTTTTCTAGCCATTGGGGCCAAGATTTGAACTGGAGTTGGCCATGTGGGATACAGCTCCCTTAACCACTTGGTCACAGAATCAGCCCTATATTTTTAGAATCTTTTCTTTTTCATAATCTTTCTTTCCTTTTTGTTTTCCTTCTGCTTTACATCCTTGACTACAGCTGCTCCTCAACTCACAATGGTGTTTCATCCACACAAACTTATCAAAAAGTTGAAAAAATTGTTAAGTTAAAAATGGGAGTTCTGTGGGGCCAGCAGATGGCATGGTGGTTAAGGCACTGGACTGGACTCCCACGTGGCAGTTCAAGTTCTGAACCTGGCAGCTTGCTTTCTCACTTTCTCTCTCTCTCTCTCTCTTTGTCTCTCTCTGATGAGTGCATGTGCCCTAAACCAAATTGAGTAATAATGATAAATAAAATTTAAAAAAATGAGAGTTTCTGTGGGCATGATAGAATGCAAAAACATAAAGCACATACACTAGCCTAGGAAAAAGTAAAAATTTGGAATATGGTTTCTATCAAATGCATATTGATTTAGCTCCATTGTAAAGTTAAAAAAAAAAATCATAAGCCAAGCCACCTCAGTCAGGGGCTGGTGTGTTCTGGCCATACATGTCTGAAAACTGGGGAGGTAGCAGAACTGTTTCAGTGGTAAGGAACTGTGCTTTTGCACCCAATATAACAGGTAAGGAAACTCAGGGAATCCATTAGTTAATTATTTGGTCGTCAGAAAAGTCGTAACATGCTTTTCTATGTTTTTCCACCAAGAACACGTCATGACTTTTCCAACAACTCAATACATGACCAGGCATTCACAACCACTCATTTCTTACCCTCTGCACAGCATTGATCACACTTTGGTAGTCTCTCTCCTCCCCACAAGCCTCTGAACTCTGTCTTGGCCTGGAGCCTGAGCAAGCACGAACATGTAGAACATGATATGCCTCCCCCATCCGGCTGGCCTTATCAGCTTATCCTGAGGATCCAGCTGACGACAGTGAGGCACATTTCCTGTCAAATCCCAAACATCTGAGCCCTTTTTCGTCCAACTTCTCCTTAAGAGTTTCTATAAGTTCTGCCTACCCCTCAGTATAAAAAGACAGACTTTGATTTTGAAACACTTGCACATTTCTGACATCAAAGTGTTTTTCTGATTGGAAGTCTTTTTGAATCAAGCTTCTCCTTATCTAACTGTAGATTTTTTTTTTTTTATTTGACGAGTGTGTTCTTATTTGACAATTTCAAGATAATACAGCTCGGGTTTTCCATGTCAAAAAGTGTGTGTTGACATATTTAATTCCTTGTGTAGGACATCGAGAAAGCAATTCTACAAAGGCAGAAAGGAAAGCAACGATTGCCAGGGGCTGGGGAGAAGGTAGGAATGGAGATCAAAGGCCAGTGGGTCCAGGGCTTCTTAGGGGGTTGATGAAAATGGCCTAAACTTAGACTGTGATGAGGACCGCGAACACTGTGAATGCATGAAAAAGCACTGAAGTATACACTTTGGGTAGATCCTGTGGCATATGAGTTATATCTCAGTGAAGATGTCTTTGTAAAAAGCTGTTTTATTGCAATGATAGGCTGAAATAGAAAAATGAAAGTGTGATATCTTTTAGAATAGTTGAATTCTAAAATCTTTACTTGATAAAAAACATACAGTACAGCCCAAATTTAATGCAGAATGTGTATTTCCAAGAATGTGTCTCAACTCGATGAGTTTGAGTTTATATATGTCTAAAAAGTTCTTCAAATAGCACAGCTTACTTAGCAAGAGCAGGTACGTAAAAAAACAAACAAACAAACAAAAACCCAGCAGAATTTATGCAAAAATGAATATGAAATGGAAAAAACTTTTAACTGGTTATATTGTTGCCACTGGAACAGTCACAAACCTCATCCAATTCTTTTTTTTTTTTTTTTAACTGAAAAAGTTTTGTTTTGTTTTTTTTTCTTCCTTTCTTGGCCTAACATTTAGCAAATTCAGTCAGTGTCGACAGTTTTTTTTTTTTTTTTAATCAGTATTTGGATAAAGAACCTATTTGGCTCAGAAGTCAGAAGCTAAGTGAAATAACATGTGGAGAAAGCCCTTTGAATAGTGCCTGGAATGCAGAGGGTGCATATTCTTTGGTCTACTTTCTGTAACTTAATTAAAAATGTGTTAGCGTGGACTGTGTTTCAGTCTATGTCTACACTGCAGTGCATCAGAGTGGTAGGTAATCTCACAGACCATGAAGGCCAACTGCTTGAGGTAAAGTCCCAGTTCAACCACGTACTCCCTGAGGAACCCAGGAAGTAACTCAACCTCTTTGCATCTCAGGTTTACCTTCTCTACCAATATTATATTATTATTGTGGCCAGTAGGTGGCGTAGTGGTTAAGGCATTGGACTCCCACATGGTCATTCCTGGTTTGGGACAAAATGGTTTGAAATTTGCTGGGCACAAGTGAATGAATGCCTCAAATCTCAAGAGGAGAATGGAGTAGAAGAGATTGTGGTATGTCTATCCCTCTCTGGGGGATGATTTCTCACTTTCTCTGTCTCTTTTTGTCTCTCCGGCAAGCACACATGCCCTATAGCAAAATCTTTCTCTCTAAAAAAAACTGTATCATCCTTCTAATCTTATTATTATCCCTGTCTTCATAATATTGTTATGAGGCTTAATTGTAAAGAGTTTAGCACAGTGTTGCCCACATGGAAGTGCCAGAGAAGTGTTTATATAAAAATAGAATCTGAAGTACCCTAACTGAGAGTTCCCCTTCCATAGGTGGTAATTAAGATTTGAATAATGAATCAGAGACTCCATTCCAGAGGAGGTTACCCTGAGGCATCAGCTATCTTTATCTAACCAGAGGTTCTATTAATTGCCATGATGGATGTTATAATAGAAATGACTTCCTTGGTGAAATGAGAAGTTGGGTGGGGTAGAGCTCTTCCTACCTTGGCATTAATGGAGACATAGGTAGAAGGCCCAATAACCACCCTAACTCAATGAAGAATCCTGTATCTACACAAGCACTTAACAAATTTTGTCTGACTTTTGACTAGAAGGGTCAAGAGTCCCATCTTAGAATAATGTTTTCATCCCTTTGAATGCTCCTTTCTTGCAAGGTGCTCTCCTGGGCCTAAGTACAAAGATGGCTGAGACTCCACTGGGAAACCGATCAGCTTGTACAACCATATCTTTAACTGCTAGTTAATGCATCTGTCTATGTAAAAATGGATTCAGCCAGAAACTTTCTTTTTGACCTATTCCTAGCTCGCTTGACCAATAGTGCCAACCTTGGCTTAACACTGCGAGGCAACTGACATCTTCCAAAAATAACCAAATACAATGAATTACCAAATTGGCTTAGGCTTCAGTTTTCACCAAGACTCAATAAAAATTCCAGCAGAAATGTAATATTTCAGTCCTCAAGAAGTCTGTATTATAAACAAGGTGACAGGCCAAATACAAATTTAAAAGGCAAAGTAAGACCTAAAACGATAACTTCTCTATGTATCCATTTATGGATGCAGTTGTGAACCTGTTTTGTGGATAGTGCACTCTGCTGGGGGCTGCAGGGAGTATAAAGATGCACCAGTCAGGATTCTTACAGAGAGAACCTACCTTGACACTGATTTATTAGCACTCCAGCACTTACCGATGGCTAGCAGTAAGTCTTCAAAATGGCCAGACAACTCTCCTTTTATGCTGTCCTCAATGTCCTTCTGGCAGATATTTCTGTATTCATCAAATGCTAAAAAGCAGCACCAACAAAAATATTTAAAGCATCCCAGTTGACCACACTTGAATATATTCCAGTTTTTCATTTGATATGCAGCAGATGAAACAGCAAGCTCAAAAACTCCTTTAAATCATCAAAATTTGGGTACAGGCCCAACTGCAATGACACCGATGGTGGGGCACTGATCTGCGATACTGGAGCCATACCAGAGGCTCTGAGTTCAGATCCCGGGGTTAGCCTATCACAGGTGCACCTGCAGGTGTGCCCACGGTCCTGGCTGGCTGGAAGGGTGTGATAAAACCCTGTTGAAGGTGCCAATCCTCCCTCCTCCCCTCCCTCTTTCTCTTCTTTTTCTGTCTCTCATATAAAGAAAATGAAATTTTTAAAAATTTGAGCACATTAGCTTTTGTTTTTCTTTTTGTTTCTTTTAAAGAAAACCATCTATAATACAACCTTAAATTTATAAGTGATTTTATTCAATGATCTCTTTCTTCCCTTCTCCCAGATTGTAAGCATTTAAAATACCCTGAAAGGATAAATACTTTATCTAGTAAGGTGGGCTATTTTTAAAATCATAGCAGCACCTGGAAAATAATGCTGTGGTCATTAGTCAACTATGTTTTACCTGCTAAAGAAACCTTAACTATGAAGATGTCTTTGTGCTGAATAAATCATTCCCTAAGGCAGCATGGCCTACTTCACACCTCCCAGAAGGCATTTGAATTTCTCCATCAGTATTTGCCTCAAGCAAAACCCGTACACATGTCACCAAATATACAGGCATGTTATGTAAACTAACTAAATTGATTCAAAGTATATTTAAAAAAAAACAAAAAAAAAACCTTTGGTGAGATCTAGTATTGTTTGGTTTTTAGTTTTCAAACAAAGACATTAATGCAGCAACTACATTTTTACCATTATTTTATAAAATATATGTAATTTTAGTGTCCCAATTAAGGAAGGACAATTTCACAATTAAAAAGTCATGGTAGGGCTACCATGTAGCACAGCAATTAAATGCTGTACAGAGGGAGCTGGGTCCCACATGGCTGGCCATGGTTTGTATCTCGGCCCTGGTGGCTTGAAAGTCTGAAATCTGAGTATATGTGATACTAAACACATATGATACTAAGTTGTGATTTGGTGGGACTTACATAACAGCTTTCCACTGTCTTCAGTGGTACTTGATATTCTCTTAAGGAACATTTGCCTACACATTTAAGGCTCATATACCATTGGAAAAACTTTTCAAAGAATCACGACACATGGTTCTTTAGGTTTTTTGGTATATACATTAAGAGTTGTGTACAAATTGAAATGTCTACACTGATCCTCAACATAACCAGTACATCTCAATTACCAAAGGGCAGGAAGATGTGCTGGGCATGTGTGCCCGTGTGCCTAGGATCCTGACGAAATGCGGAACCAGGAAAAAGGTCTTTAGCATGCCCAGGCCTCATGCGGTGGGGGGTGCTTTCTCTCTCTGTCTGCCCACCATGTACAAATAGAATTAAAAAAAAAAAAAGTCAGAGTAATATCCTTACGGTTCTTCATTTTTCCATCAGCTCAGCATAAGCTTAGTCATGCTCTGAGGTTGTTCTCTGAACTAACACTTAGAAGGCACACTCAGACGGTCACAGTAAACAGAGGTCCAGACTCTGGAGTTTTACTTCCGGAAGGCTCAGGGAGAGGTGGGAGTGAGAGGGGTTTGCTCAGCAGCTCCATTGTAGCAGATGGTCTGACAGAAAAGGGAGCAGTTTCTCCCTATTCCCCAGTTACCTTCATTTCAGAAAGAGCTGCATGTTAATCAGCACTGATGCATCAGAGAAGCTCACCCGTGGTGCCTGGGTTTTCTGGCTTTAAGATTAAAGTAATCTGTCCAAATACATAAAGTGTGCGAGCAGCATGAGATTCTAGCTGTTTGGTTCTAAAGCTCTGCCCTGGTTTCCTACTCTCTACTGCCTCCAGTGGAGGTATGTGATCACATCCACATGCACAGACAGATGCACACTTTATTAACACGGTCATGCATCACTGAACGACGGAGGTATGCTCTGAGAAATGTGTCAGGCGATTTCATCACTGTGCAAACATCTGAGTGCACTTACACACACCTAGAAAGTACAGCCTCCTGCACACGGCGGCAGTATGGTGTGGCATAGGATAATTTTGTGCAACTTAAAAATTTTTTTTAGTTTGCCAGAGGATGCGTGTTCACTGAAGACAGAAACAGGGAAAGTGAGAAAGCGCCCCTTATGGGCCATGGTCAGACCACAATCCCTTCTCCATTTCTCCCTCTATTGGGGATTTGGGGCATGCAAACATACATGCCTGGAATGTTTTTCAAGTCATCAGGTCCAGGATTTGAACCACATGGTTGGCCATCTGGAATCCAGCTACCTTAACCACCCCCATGGGCTGGCCTGGGGGGCCACATCTTACATGTGGTCTGCTGTTAACTGAAACATCATTATGTGGCACACGACTGTACACTCCTCTGAAAACGTGTTGCCCATTTCTTTTCCTAATATGCGTGTAGATGAGTTAGAACACAATTTACACATTTTAACTGCATTTTCCAGATATTGTGCATTAAACACCCTGAACGTTTGCAAAGCTGGCGTGAGATGACATGGATCGTAATGTGAATCCATACTTAGTTTCAGCTGAGGAAAGCTCCTCAAACACAGGATCTCCGTGAATTTATCTTCATCAGTGCCCCATTTGTTCTCGCCAGCCTGATAGAGAACCTGTTGACCAGGGAAGGAAGAAAAATGTTACTATAACCACAATTCTTTCTCTCTCTTCTCGAGGGGATGGAATGAAAAGAGTGTGAGCTTTATTTTAGAGGTCAGTGAGAGACTCTATTATGTCTGGCAGACTAGAATCTGAATGTTGGGGTGGCAGAAGTCAGGAGAATGATAACCACCACTGGGAAAAGCGGAGTTACCACTGGATGACTCTCAGTCTTCAAGAATCTTCTTCAGACAAAAGAAGGGAGAACAGTCCCTGTGGGTACCATCTTTCTCTGTTTACCCAGAACTGCAAGGTCACTGCGGGGGGAGTTAGAAAAAGATGTTCTCTTTGCTCTGTTACTGACCTGGGCATCTTTTTTGGCCAGATGCTCATCCACCTTCAGGCTTTCATCTCTTCTTCCCTAAACAGGATTGACAAAAGCAAGGGCAAACCTTTTAAATTCAGAAAACTTTATATTAGTACACCAACCAGAAGGCATCTTCGTGGTTTTTCTCCAATGGAAGCTACATAGCACAGAGGAATCAGAAATCCAAATGGACTCCAGTCCTGGTTCTACTGTGACTAGGCATAAAATAAGTAGCAAATCACACAATTTGGGGGGCCTCAGTTACCTCCTCTGAAAATTCAAAGGTCTCGAGAGGATGAACATATAATACAAGCCACAGGCTAGTAGAAAATACTTGTAAAATGTACGTGGTAAAAGACTTATATCTAAATACATAAAGAACTTTCAAAAATCAGTAAGATGGGGACCAGCAGTTGGCACAATGGCTGTGTCTCTGGACTCCCATGTAGTGGACTGTGGTTCTAGCCCTGGACCTGGTGGCTTAAACTCACGTTGGGCGCATGTGCGTGTGTGTGCCCAAGATTCTGAGAGGAGAATGGAGGATAAGGGACTGCGGCATGGCCATCCCCCCTGGGGGGGATTTTTCGCTTTCTGTCTCTCCGTCTCTGTATTTCTGGTGAGCACGTGTGCCCTATAGCAAAAACCTCTCAAAAAAAAATCAGTAAGATGATAACAAACTTTATTTAAAAATGGGCAAAACAACTGCACACCTCACTAAACAAAATATACAAACGCCAAGACAGCACATGAAAAGATGCACAACACCATATCACCAGGAAGTCACAAATTAAAATTAAAAGATGCAACTACACACTTATTAAAATGGCTACAATTTCCAACACTGACGATGCCAAATACTAGTGAGAATATGGAGGAACAAGAATTCACATTAATTGGTGGTTTGAATGTAAAATGGGATAGTCAAGATGGAAGACAGTTTTGCAGTTTCCTAAAAAGCTACATATATTCTAATCCTAGAATAAAGCAATTGTACTGCCTGGTATTTATCGAAATGAATTGAAAACTGATGTCCACACAAAAACTCACACATGCATGTTCACACAAGTTTTATTCATATGTGATAAAACTTAGAGGTAACCAAGATGCCCTTCAATAGGTGAAACAAATATTCCATAAAATGGAATATTATTCAGCAATCAAAAAAATGAGCTATGAAGAAGCCATGAAAAGTTATGAAGGAATCTTTTTTTTTTTTCTTTTTTAAGAGAGATACTTTGCTATAGGGCACGTGTGCACGTGTGCTCACTGGAGAGACAGAGACAGACAGAAAGTGAGAAATCAACTCCCAGGGGGATGGCCACATCACAATCCCTTCACCTCCCTTTTCCTCTCAAGATCTTGGGCATGGACGCACACTTGCCTGGCATGAGTTTTAAGTTGCTAGATCCAGGTCTCAAACTATAGCTAACTACATGGGAGTCCAGGGATGTAACCATCACGCCATCTGCTGGTCTCATGGAGGAATCTTAAAAGCATATATTCCCAATAGCTAAGGGAAAGCAACCAGTCTGAAAAGGTTACATATTAAATTATTCCAATTATATGACATTCTAGAAAATGAAAACTAAAGTGACAGTGAAAAGATCAGTGCTTGCCAGGGGTAAAGGAGGAGAGAGGTGTGAATAGGCAAAATATAGAGGATTTCTAGAGCAGTAAAACTACTCCATATGATACTGTAATGGAAGACCTATGACATTACACATTTGAGAAAACTCCTAGAACTGTACAAAGAGTGAACCCTAACCCTAATGTAAACTATATACTTGAGTTAACAATAATGTATGAGTATTTACTCATCAGCTCAATAAATATACCACACTAAAGCAAGATAAGATGTTAACAGCAGGGGAAACAGAGTGGGGAGAAGGGGCATAAGGAAGCTCACTGTACTTTTTGCTCAGTTTTTCTGTAGATGTAAAACTGCTCTATAAAGTCCATTAAGAAAAAACAATCTCAATATCCCCTCACCAGTTCTAATGTTTAAGACTCTGGGTTATACATGCAATGCTCTAGGTAGATGAGAGAGAGAAAGGGAAAACAGGGGCTGGCCCTATAGCCTAGTGGTCAGGGAAGCTGAATCCCAAAAGGCCAACTGAGGTTCAAATTCTGGCCCCTACAGCATGAAAAATATGTCTGGGTGCTCATTCATGTGTGCTTCAAATCTACACAGAAAGAAGCAGTGAAGGAGAAGGAATGAGAGATTTTTTGCTATAGGACGTGTGCACCCACAGAGAGACAGAAAGCGAGAAATCATCCCCCAGATGGGATGGTCACACCACAATCCCTACTCCATTCTCCTCTTGGCATTTTGGGCATATGTGCACACATGTCCAGTGTGAGTTTTAAGCCACCAGGTCCAGGACTCCAATGTGGAAGTCCAGTTCCGTAACCACTGTGCCACCTGCTAGTCCTTCTCTTAATCTTTACATCACTCGGTGCCAGCAGGTGGCATGGTGGTTAAGGTGTTGGACTCCCACATGGCTAACCACGGTTTGCATCCCAGACTTGGCAGCTTGCTTTCTCACTTTCCCTTTCTCTCCCTCTCTGTTTATATTAATAACAACAACAATAATAATAATAATGATAATGATAACAAATAAAATTAAATAAAGAAAATAATTCTACAAAAAATCATTACAACACTCTATGAGGTTTGTAATGTAATTAAAAACTAATTTGTTTGGGTCAGTATGTGGCTTAAAAGTGTTACGATTAGGTTCCCAACACAGGAGAAACCTGGAGTACTTTCTAAAAGTACTTTCAGTACTTTCATTTTACAGATTGAAAACTAGTGCTTTAAGGCTTAAAGTGACTTGTCAAATACACAGAGCTAGAGGGCAGTGTGAGATTTCAGCTATGATTTTAGAACCCTGCCCTGGTTCCCTCCTCTGTACTGCCTCCTGCGGGTGTATGTGTGCAACCTGACCTAAGAGGAGTACAGTCGCAAGTTGCTGAAAGACAGGGAAATGTGTCACTGTGCGAGCATCGTGGAGAGTACCTACCCCAAACTAGGCATGGATAGCCTATTTTATTTATTTATTTATTTTATTTTATTTTATTTATTTATTATTTTTTTTTTTGGAGAGGTTTTTGCTATAGGGCACGTGCGCTCGCCAGACAGAGAGACATTAGAGACAGAAAGCGAGAAATCACCCCCCCCCCCAGAGGGGATGGTCACGCTGCAATCCCTTCTCCTTCATTCTCCTCTTGGGATCTTGGGCACACACGCACACACGCACACACGCCCGGTGTGAGTTTTAAGCCACCGGGTCCGAGACACGAACCACGGTCGACTATGTGGGAATCCAGTGACATAGCCATTACGCTAACTGCTGGTTCCCAGCATGGATAGCCTATTAAAATCTCATGGGACCACTGTCCTATTGTGGTCCAGCCACATCATTATCTAGAGTACTGAGAGCACATGGTCCAACAATGTGTCATGTCTTTGTGTTTGAGTTCAACTCTCATAAGGTTTTTAACCATTCAAAACAACTGAAACCATCAGGATAAATTGTTTCCTGGTGGCCTAATACCTCACTTTGACAAGGGGTGTTCCAACCCTCAGGCTGAGACCACTGTTGGGACTTTGTCACACATTAGGAGCTATGTAAATTAGCTGGAAGAAGTTGATGAAATGTGGCTTAAATCACTTCCTCGCTTACATCTATGAATACACCTCATTCTTCGACCTCAGCACCTTTGTTATCAAAATCATGAGCCTACCAGAAAGAAAGACTAAGTGTGGCTCATGGTCAGATGGTGATTCATGGTTTAGCAGCTCTTCCAAGGAGGCAACGAAAAAGTTGCAACACGTTATTTTTTTAAATCCTGAAAGTGATCCTCATCTCTGAGTTGTATGTCCATCTCCAAAGATAATTCTTCTGTATTATGCTTCCTACATAATTAAAAAGGCAAAAATGAGAAATATATATATGCTTTGGAGTCCAGAAGAAAATAAGAACACTGTAGAGGCCAGCAAGTGGTATGTTGGCTAAGGCACTGGACTCCTACATGGCCAAATGCAGTTCGAGTCCTGGACCTGGCAGGGCCTGTTTTCTCACTTTCCCCTCTCTCTGTCTCTCTCTGGTGAATGTGCATGCCCTATAGCAAATTAAAAATAGTAATAATAATAAATAATTCTTGAAAAATAAGAATATTCTGAAAAATGAAGACTCTTAGAATGGAAATGAACTTTATTTTTTTAAGTTCTCGCTACAGGTGTGTGGGCTTACCAGAGACAGAGAGAGGGGGCTAGAGAATGAGAAATCACTCCCTAGGGGGGATGGCCACACTGCAACCCCTTCTCCTCTGTTTTCCTTTTGGAATTTTGGGCATGCACACACAAGCACCCAGCATGACTTTCAAGCTTCTGGGTCCAGGACCTCATGTAGTCAAGCCATGTGAGAATCCAGTACCTTAACCACCATGCCACCTGCTGCCCACACCCCCATAATTATCCTATATCTACTGATTTATCAGAATATTTTCTAACGTATTGGAATCCCAGTCAAAACACTTTTATTCTGACCCAAACAAACTTGTTTTGTTTTTAGAGAGATTTTTGCTATAGGGCACCTGTGCTCACCACAGAGAAAGAGAGACAAAAAGTAAGAAATTACTCCCCAGGAAGGATGGCCACACAGCAATCCCTTCTCTTTCATTCTCCTAACAGGATTTTGGGCATGCACACACATGTGCCTGGCATGACTTTCAAGCCTCTGGGTCTGAGACTTAACCTGTGGTCAGCCATGTGGGAGTCCAGCGACATAACCGTTTCGCCATCTGCTGGTCCCACAAATTTGTTTTCAATTATATCATTAAGTGAATTTTCATGACCTTGGTTAAACATTATATTGCTTGGAAGCAATGCAAATGTAAAATGAACAAATCATTTCATAAGGTAAACTAATTTCATTTTCTTAATTTGGTATATTTTAAAGCCCCTTAAAATTATTACTAAGAAAAAAAAATTATTACTAAGCATGAAACCTATTGGAGAGTTACAAAACAAAAATAAAACCTTACATCTGCCAAAGTCAAGAGAGCTTTCCGGAAGTCACCAGATGTTTCAGAACTAATGTCATCACCAAGACTCTTCTTATATACTGAAACCAAATAAGAATGAAATTAAGTCTTAACAAACTCAAAAATACTATAAAACAGAAGAAAGGTTAAATATCAGTGCTGGCAAGGAATAAGTATCTGATACAATAAACCTTGTCTTTTTATGTAACTTGCTGGTGCTCCTCTGATGTGAAATGGATAGTCTTATATCTATTTATTATACTGTGTATTTTCGTAGACGAAAAAAAAAAAAAAAAAGAGTTGCCATTCTGGATCAAATCATTGCTCATTTCATCTGACAAGGGCACTAAAGGTGTACTGGGAAAGCTACTGTGGGTTAGTTGCTAATTTGTCTTCCAACTTCCATTTTCTTCTTCTTCCATAGTAACGGAACCATAACCTTCAGTAAGAGTAACATACACAACTTAAGATCTATATCTCAGCTTTCTTCTTAGCTAGGTACATCTCCATGACTAAATTCTCAATGAAATGAGGGCAGGGACTAGTAGGTGATATGTTGGTTGAGGTGCTGGACCCACATGGCTGACCACAGTTTGAATCCTGGACCTGGACTTAAAAAATCATACCAGGCATGTGTGCGTGCATGCCCAAAATCCCAAGAGGATAATGGGAGAAAAGGGATTGAGATGTGGACATCACCCATGAGAGGTGATTTCTCCCTTTTCTTTGTGTCACTCTGTCGGTTGGTCGGTCGGTCTCTCTCTCTCTCTCTCTCTCTCTCTCTCCAGCAAACACAATGAGGACAGACATATGTGACTTTGCTGGGAAATCTCCTTAAAGGAATGAACCACACCCAATTTGGTCCCTTCTTCTGCCTGAAGCCTAGTATATGGAGTTATGTCTGGAGCTCTGGCAGCCATCTTAGACCATGAAGATAAGGACTGCACCTTAGCAATGGTATAAAAGTAATCAAAAAGAGCCCTGAGTTTCTAAAAATTTGAGAAACTATAATACCAGTACCAGAATTGCCCATCTCAAGACTTCAACATATGAGACTTGCTAATTTCATAAGCCATTTTAAAGCTGAGATGTGTCCTGGCCTGTTCAAGAAAGCTATACTCTAAACTCCATTTCTAGACTCTCAAAATATTCAGACAAGAAGCTGTTGTAAAGCTGAAGTGTGTCCTGGCCTGTTCAGAGAAGCTATGCTCTAAACTCCATATCTAGACTTCCAAAATATTCAGACAAGTGGAAGAGAGATTTTGTCACAGAATAAGCAGAAACCACCACAGAGGCACAAGAAACATGAGAAACCAAGAAAAAAAATCTTTCCCCTAAGGGAAAAGAACAAGCCCTCATCATCCACAGACAATACAGTAGAACTTGTGGAAATGTCTGACAGAGAATTCAGAATATTTGTAGTGACAAACTAAGCAAGATTCAAGAGCTGAGAGATCATGAACTCCAGAAGATCCAGGAGAAAAGAGACAATGAGTTCCAGGAGGTGTTAAAGTTCTTTCATGATCTGAAAGAGGAAATACACACCATAAAAAAAGAATCAAATGGAGCTATTAGAGATGAAGGCTGCTATTCAGGAAATCAAAACCTGCCTCAAAAGCCCACACACCACCCAAAAAAAAAAAAAAAAAGAGAAAGAGAGAGAGAGAGAAAATAACCCCCCAAAATGAGGATACTATACGAAAAATACTAGACAGCATTAAGCACCCAAACATCTGGATAATCAGTATCCCAGAAAGTGAGGAAACTAATAAGGGCATTGGCAATCTATTCCATGAAATCTTGGAAGAAAACTTTCCAAATCTAGAGATGCATTCAAATATCCAGACCCAAGAAATACAAAGGACCCCTAATAAAATCAACCCAAGAAGATCTTCTCCAAGGCCCATCATAACAAGACTGGCCAAATCTACCGACAAAGACAAGATACTAAAATTGGCAAGAGGGAAACATCAGGTTACTTATAAAGGTTATCCAATCACGCTAACCTCTGACCTCTCAACAAAAACAAAGTAAGCAAGGAAATAATGGGAAAAAATATTAAAAGTGTTAAGTGAAAAACAGTTTCAACCAAGAATACTATACCCAGCAAGATTATCTTTCATATGGAAAGAAAGGATAAAAACATTCTCAGATAAATGAGACTTGAAAGAATTTGTCAATAGCAGACCCACTCTTCAAGAAGTTCTGAAAAGAGTGCTCTACCAGGAAAACTAAAGACACATACAGAAATAAGAGAACAAGAGCCAAACAAGAAAATGACCAACTTAATGCTAGGGACAAGAAATATCAATAGTAACATTGAACATTAACTTCCAGGATTTAAATGGAAAGATTGAACTACAGTAACACTGTATATTCAACAGAAGAGAGTTTGAACATAAGACTGAACTGGTGAAATAAAATTTTATGACTTTTGAGTAAAACATTACTTTTTTTTTTTCACTATGCTTTGTTTTCCCAATTTAAGTATTTTACTTTCTTCTGAGTTGTTGACAGGTTCAGCAATTTGTTAAAATATTTTTGTTTCTTTCAATGGAAACATAAATGTTTGTTCCTTCCTGATCCCTCCAGAATTGGAAAATATTTGGGAATATTCTTATCTTGTAGCAGAAGGGTTATTTGTATAAATTCAATAATGCTTGTTGCATTGAATCAGAAATTGGAAATACTCATTATTGGATAGGGCTTTGACTGGAATGTCATATCTGAAGATTAATCAGGAAACTATGGAACTAAGGTGGATCTCAAGTAAGCCAACAGAAGCTCTTGGAAAGATGGCCTGGCACCATAAATAGTTCTGCCTGGCAGAGAGGATTAGAGAAGATATATAAAATAATTTATAACATAAAATAACCTGGACTTTTCCAGCCCAGCATTGTAATCAGTAGACATTGCAAAAGAGCAACCGCACACCAGAGGATTATCTTGAGAAAGATGTTGAAGGAAGAAAAAGAGACTGATCTTTGCTAGCAGATGGTATATCACAGAATATCTGGTAGGCAGGGCTGAACTGAGAAGGTTTATGTGTGACTTATGTGCTGGGCATTTGCTTTTCAACAATCTGAGTAGCTGACATGTAAATTTTTAAAACCATACTGTCTTGTTGTTATAGAGTCACAAACAAAATTATACAAAATTATCAGAAATATTTTGAACATTATCTTTAAAATTCAGTATTTTGAAATTTTGAAAGTTGTTTATTAACTGTCAAGAACTATGGAGTATGAGTAAAAATGTTTTGATATGTAAAGTAAATGTGGAAAAATGTCAAAATTAAAAGAAAAAAAGACTTCAACATATGATAGAAACTTCTATCTTATTTAAGCTGCTGTTACTTTTCAGTTTTATTGAACCTAATTCTCTTAATGAATATAGCTGTATTGTATCATTTGATATTTCTCAGAAGAATCATATGCTAAGACATACTCTTTTCCTTAACAAATGCCCACTATGTGTTCACATATTTCAATACCATCTAGTTGCAGCTCTGTGTGCATGGCCTGTGATCTGCAGTGTCCATCCATTTTCCTCAAAAGTAGAATTGAGGTAAGTAAGGTCTCCGTCTAGGCAGACAGGGTTAAGAGTCCACAGAATGGAGAGTACCAAACAAGATGGAGTCACTATAGTCAAGCCTTTACAACAAATCATTTGCGGCTCTCACTAGAAATCAATTATTAGCACTCACTGCTTGTTTACACAAAAAGCCTCTTGCAGGCTGCCTGAGATAATGAAAGCTACAGCCAACACTTTTCCGATCATTTCTGCATTCCAAACCAGGAGCGTGGTCTCTCCCGGTCTGGAGTAGAGGAGAGGGAAGGACTTTGAACAATATACTCTTCTTTCATATTTCAAACTTTATGACTACTTGCTGACTAGGCTAGAAATAGATTAACAATAGTCCCCAAATTACTGTCCAACTCAAGGACAATTAGCCGAAAACTCCCCAGCAGCACAAGAGGTCTGCACTGGCATCTCTTAAAAGAGAGACTTTTTTCCTCTTCTCAGAAGTCTTTTCTGCCTATCTCCTTAAACAAAAATAATTTACATATAATTTTTGTTCTTTTTTCTTTGTTAGGGTCTATATAACTGCACTGCTCCTACCCCTAGTGGGTGACCCATTCAGGATCCCCTTCCACTTAGCTAGAAGCTTTGACTCTTTCCTAATACATTTTTCTTACTATCCTCTCCACTTGTCTGCATCTCTAATTCCTCGTGAGTGTGAGAAAAAGAACCCAGTCTTCTCATGGTCCTGAATTCTACCCTGGTGTTGAGCCTGCTCACCCTAACCCTCTGCATCAGAACTTCATATTTAAAGTTAGTTTGTGTACATATTTACGTGTGTGTGTGTGTGTGTGTGTGTGTGTGAGAGAGAGAGAGAGAGAGAGAGAGGATCATCCCCAAACCAGGACAGTCACACCCTTTCCACCAGTTCTTCATCCCATCCTGGCTACATGCACACATGCTCAGTATGCTTTTCAAGCCCTCCTATTTGGAACTCAAACCCTGAACAGCCATGTGGGATGGATTCCTCTGTGTAGCACTTCACTGCTCTATAAGAAGGGCAGCCCAAGGGAGATACAGTTTATTTTCGACAGTCTTCCTATGTTGGAGACATTGTCCCACCTAGGACTGCAAGCACATGCCACTGTGCTTGGCCCATTTAGGTTGGGCCAGGAACAAACCCAGGTCTCCCACGTGGCCTCAGCCTCTGTGCAGCATCATCTCAGTAGCAAAAGCCACTGTGGTTCAACCTTTCATCAACTTGTAAATCCCTGTTCTCCCCCATCCAAGGAGAAGTAACCCTTTCAGAGCATCCACATACTCGGATGTACGTGGTACCAGGGGTTTACCTGAGCACTACCTGCATCATTCTCTAGAACTCTAGAAATTAGTCATATGAATGTTTGTCCTTTTAGGTCAATAACAGACAGTTACAGGAAGTGATATAACGAAAACTTTCATAAGAACTGTGTTGAGATGGAAACTTCCTCGGTAAGGTTTTGGTAGTCTCTTTAAAAAAAAAAAAATCTAAAATTTTTCAAAGGAATTCATCTAAGGAAAATCTACTTATTTACCTAAGTGATAACATTTTTTGTTACACTGAATAGTCATGATATTTGTTAAACCTACCACTCACTCGAAGAAGGAAAAAACTTAATCCCCAAATATCAAGTTAAAGAATGAAATGTGGGGGGACCAGCAGTTAGTGTAATGGCTATGTCGCTGGACTCCCACATAGTCGACCACGGTTCACATCCTGGACCCGGTGGCTTAAAACTCACGCCAGGTGAGTGTGCGTGCGTGCCCAAGATCCAGAGAGGAGAATGGAGGAGAAGGGGTTGCGGCGTGGCCATCCACCCTGGGGGGTGATTTCTTGCTTTCTGTCTCTCTGTCTATCTCTGTCTATCTGGCGAGCGCACATGCTCTACAGCAAAAACCTCTCAAAAAAAAAAAAAAAAAGAAATGTGTGAAGGTATTTTGTAATTTTAGGATTATCTAGATGAAGCTTTATGGTCATCTCATTTATTTATTCCTTATATTTGTGCCTCTATTCATTCCAGATATTTTGCAGGAAATTAGACTTAAAAAAAAAAAAGAAAGAGAAAGAAAGATGTATTTCAACCCGAATTAACAACTACTCTATATACTTTAAGACAGAATAGAGTACAGAAAAACAGATATGCTATTTTAATAGTCTAGGGGCCTGAACTAGAACTTGAGTTCCTGATCTCTGATTCAATATTCTCTTATACACCATTCACTTAAGAGTATTGGAAAAGTTCAGAATTTGGCTCTCTACTTGTTTAGACTCTTTTGTATCTATTAGCCATCCAAGGTGCCTGGTCCCTTTGTGAGGGACCCTGGTCTCTTTGTTCATGGCCTCTTTTAATGGGTTCACATGCATGGTTCACCATTTTGCATTATCTGATATCACTGTTCCTGCCACAGCTGATTAAAACAGGGTTGGTACTTGAGTATGGACAACCAGCCACCTTAAAGTTGACCTGGTAGGACGATTTTGCCTAAAATAATGCTCTCTATTAGACAGCAACTTCCTGAGCCAATGTAAATGTAATCATCTCTGTTAGGCAATAGGCTACACAGGGAAAGAAACAGACATTAGAGTAACAAAGAAATGAAAGGCTCCCACCCCCACCAGGAATAAAGGAGGAAATAAGGAAGCCAAGAATAATTTTTTTTTTTTTTTTTTTTTTTTTTTTTATAAGAAAAGGACAAACATTGAGTTGTCAGAAATGTCATGATGCATTTTTTGCATAGAAAAACATGTCATGACTTTTCTGATGACCCACTATAAGCCTTGGGTAGGCAACACCATGTGGGAAGAAAGAGAAGAGAGGACACTTGGTGATACCAAGAACAGTAGAAGAGATGAGGGAGAGGAACAGAGATTCTAGGTAAGGAAGGCACATTAGCAAAGGAGCCAGGGGTGCCTGATGCTGCAGGAGTGGCAAGAGAGTTAGGTACCCAGTCTAGCTGCTATATCCTGAATTTCTGCAAAACTTGGCTACACATGATTGCAGCTCTTTCCTTCTTGATCTTCTTAAGTATCATCAAGCTGCAGTAACCAAGGTAACATAGACACAGTTCTATTACTTGCAGCTTTAGAGAGCTTTATCCACTAGAATCTGAGGCTTGATCAATTCAGGCTATTATGATTTGTCATATTCACAAAAACATAGTCCTAAATGCTGGAGCTTTCGTTTAGCTCTTTGCCCTTAATCTCAATCTTGAGGGCATTTTATTCAATAAATATTTGTGTGTATCTCTTCCACTTTTCAGGGCTCTGGGGACATGGCAATGGGTAAAAGAGACAAGACCCCACCCTCACTGAGCTTACATTCTAGTGAGCCACTGCACCCGATGAGAACAGTGGAAAGCCCTGAATTTGTGGTCAGTTGGTTGGAAATGTACATGTCCTAAAAACACCTGAAACTTGTGGATGGTGTGGGAAGTGAGGGTGGTCTTATGGGGACTATGATCTTAATCTGTGATGTCACGCTTACCCTGGGGAATTAGAATCAAATTGCATTTCAGGGATTTTCTAATTTTTACATAGTTAACTGACTATTAGGACTTTAGCTAGTTATATTGAATCCACATGCTCAACATATTCTAAATGGCTCATCTAACATCCCACACCAAAAATCAAGAGTTGAATCTGAGTGGTTTCTAACACATAATAATAATATACAATGATTTTGAGACTCTTACATTGATGAAAATGGCTGATTTAATTAAACAATAATTGCTCAGAGCAAAATCCATTGCAGCTGAAATATTATAAATGCAAAACAATAATGCCATTGTTATGTAGCAGTTTCTGGCTCAGATCACATTCTCGTTTTCTCTGAAAACCTACAGCCTAGAGCTCACTTTAGAATGTATTCTCCTTTCTAGAAGTTTCACTTTCTCAAAATGTCTTGTAAAGAGGGAAGGTGAGGCCACCCAGTGACATGGTGGTTAAGGTGACTGAATGACATGGCCAGCTCTGTGGTTCAAAATCCTGGTCCTGGTGGTTTGAGAACTATGCCAGGTGCATATGTACACATGTCCAAAATCCCAAAAGGAAATAGAAAATGGAGGAGAAGGGAAAGTAGCATGACCATTCTCATGGGGTGCTTCCTTGCTTTCTCTCTTTCTCTCTGTGGCACCTGCACATACCCTTTGGAAATATTTATTTAAAAAAAAAATCTGATTAGTAGAATTCTGGGAAAAGCAACATTGGCTCACACATGTACTAACAGTGATGAAAATAAGCAAAAAATAAGATGACCTGTATAATAAGCTTGAGAGATCTCCCTCATCTGCCTGCTTGTCCTGGTGGTTAAGATTTCAATCAAGGCATCTTCATTTGTCCCAGTGCCCTAAAAAGGAAAAGGAAATGTAAGTTTTAGCACATTAAAGAAACTTCAATGTTAGGCCTTGCACTCTTTACATCTTGTTTTATACAGATGAAAGAACAGTTTTGAGTAAATAAATGTCCTATATTACTCTAAGACAATTGTCTAACTTTCTATATAGTTCAGTGTTAAACTAACATGAATTATCTGGAATAAACTGACATAAAATTTTTAAAGGAAATTTCCCACTCTAGTGTAAAAATCAATTGAACAGTTCTAGGAAGAAATAGTACAAAGGGAAAAGCCCCTGACATTCAAGATCAGGAGTGACAGACTAACAGGATTAACCCCACTGAGCATTCAAACAAGCCCCTGTGTTTAGAAAGGGCTGACAGTTCTTTTGATTGAGTTCATCCTTGCATCACTGAACTGGGCTGGTCAGCATGTATCATCCTCTCCAGACAGGGAGGTTTTTGAATCCTTGCTAAAGTGTGTCAAGGGCCTGGCTAGCCTGGGGACTAGTTACCCCTCAGCCTTTTTCATATTGAGGTCACTGAATCACACTGTGACTCTAAGGAAAGTCATTTACATTAGAACTTGATTAAATAAGGCCAATGAACCATATGAATGGAGACAGAAATCTTCCCCAGATTCCTAGTTGCCCCATTATCCCTTTGTCTTTTTTGATTAGTAATAGAACCCCCGATTTTTTTAATTGCCAGAGGCATGTACACTCACCAGAGAAACAGAGAGAGAGGGGAGAAAGCATCTTCCAATGAGATGTGGCCCCATCATGATCTCTCCTCCCCTATCTTTCCATCCCATCAGTAATTTAGGCATGCACACATGCGTAGCATGTTTTTCAAGTCATGGCCTGGGATTCAAACTGTTGTCAGTCATGTGGGATCTGGGTCCCTTAACAATTAAGCTATGAATTCTCAATTTTTAAATTGACACATAGCTACCCAAATAAAGGTCATGTCTCAATTTCCTTTATAGTGATTTTTTTCTTCATATTTTTGCTATGGGGAGTTTGCACTTGCCAGAGAGAGACAGTAAGGGAAAAGGTGAGAAATCACACCGCCCTACCCCCACCCGCCATGGGAATGACCACACAACAATCCCTTCTTTTCCATTCTCCCTCCTGGGACTCTGGGTACCCATACACACACATCCAGATTGAGTTTCAACATACTGGATCTGAGACTCAAGCAGTGGTCAGCCATGTGGGAGTCCAGCCCCTTAACCACTATGCCACCTGCTGGCCCCTATAACTTAATTCTGACTAATGGCACATACATAGAAATATTATGTGCACATATTGGGGAATGCCCTTAAAGAAGGAGCAATTTTCCTTGTCCTTCCTTATTTTTAGTTGACTGGAATGAAGATGTAAGTGCTGAATCTTGAGCTATCATCTTCAACCAAGTAATAGAAACAATGAGCTGAAGATGGCAGAGCTTCAAGACTATAGGAGACAGAGTCTCTGATAATGGTGGTGCGGCCACACCCAGCTCTAGACTGCTTACTATGGGTTTCTTTTGTGTAAAGAGAGATTTTTAAAAATCTTTGTTGGTACATCTAACTCTACTGTGCCTGATAATCCTCCCCATGTGGTAGCCATAGAGGCTCACTGCTCAGATTTCACTTGAGAGACTGTTGCAGAGCATGGTGTTGGCTAATAGCCTCCAATTGATACCTCTTTGGATATGGTACAGAGTTCACACTGAGGTCATGCTCTTTCCAGTCAGAGACTGAGCACAGCAGGGTACTGGAGCTGGGTCCTTTCTGCCCAACATAGGACAATTGACTAAAGGACAATCTTTCCTCAGGGGCTTGTCTTCAGCCCAATACAGCTGTCTCAGAGCTGTACTATACACTAAGGCTCTCTCTGCCCAAGCTCACTTCCCTCCTCCTTTCCTTTTGCAGGAGTCACTCCTGCATCGCAGTCTGAAGGTTCACACACCAATCCTGCTCTGTCTCTTCCTCCTTCCCAGGCATTTCCTACAATAAATCTCTTGTACATCACATCCTATGTTGTCCTCTGCTTCTTAGATGTCCACACCTCTTCCACAGAAAAGGAAACTACTCCTACCCTAGTGGGAGGGCAAAATATAGCTACGGCTCTGACTTAGTCTCCCTTCTTTTTCCTCCTTCCTATCAATAAATATGTCGACCACCGACTTCATGTCAGGCTTAACTCTAGGAAGATACAGACCAAGGCCAGTGAGGTTTCCTGCCACACTGGAGATTTGCCTTTTAGTTAGGTGGAAAAGGATAATACAGAGAAGGACAAAAATACAGACAAAATCATTTTAGATTGTAATAGGTACAATTAAGAAAATAACACTGGGTAAATTAATAGAAAATGTCAGGAGAAAAGACATTCCAGATCTTCATATATAAAGATCCTCAAATAGGAATAAGCTTACAATGTTCTACGAAAAAGCTAGTGTAGCCATATTATTAAATGTGGAGTGAGGGGGGTATGATGATCAGTTTTATAGGCCAAGCTGGTCAGGGTATAGTCCCCAGTTATTCAATCAAATACCAATCATGGTGTTGCCATGAAGGTATTTTGTAGATATAATAAAGTTCAGGGCTACCTCCGAGTTACAGTGGTTAGGGAGTAGGCACAGGATACTGAGTCCCACGTGGCTGACCAGAGTTCAGATCCCTGCCCTGCTGGTTCGATCATGCATGGCTTACACTAGCATGCCCAGAATCTTGACTGAAGAATCAGAGGAATGACAATGGTGGTGTGACCAGGCCCAATGTGAGGTGTGTGTGCTCACTCCTTCTCACCCATGTTCTCTACCATGAATAAATGAAAAAAAAAAAGCCTATTATCAATTGACTGTGAATAAGCCAGGTTGTCTTGACAATCCTAGGTGGGCTGATGCCATCAGTTGAAAGGCCTGAAAAGCAAGGCTGAAGCTTTGCTGATGAGGAGGAGATTCTGCATATGCTGGGGGCTCCAGCCTCCCCTTCCTGACAGCCTGTCCCACAGATTTCAACTCATTTCACTAGTCCCCTCATCCCATAACCAATTCCTTGTAAAAAGAATTGTTACTTATATATGTTCTGCCTACTGGTTCTGCTTCTCGGGTGAATTCTGACTGAAAATTTATGCAGGTAAATAGCATAGTATGATTTAAAAAATAACTTTTTGGGACCAGCAGATGGTGTAATGGTTAAGTTGCTAGATTCCCACATGGCTGACTGCAGTCTAAGTCCTGGACCTGGTGGCTTGAAAATCATGCTGGGTGCAAGTGAATGACGTGTCCAAGATCCTAGGAAGAAGGGATTGCAGTGTAGCCATCCTCCCAGGAGATGATTTCTCACTTGCCTTCTCACCATGTCTCTCTCTCTCTCTCTGGAAAGCACATACACTCTAAGGCAAAAATCTCTTAAAAAATAATAATTTTTGGCTATTTTGTGAAGAACAGCCTTGAGATGGGCATAAGTAGAGGTAAAGAGACCAGTTAGGAGGCTACTGATAAGGTCTGATCAAGAAATGATGGTGGTTGGCCCAGAATGGTAGCAATAGCTTTTTTAAAAATAATTATTTCATTTAATTTGATTCATCATCATTGTTATTATTATTTTCACTTGAACAGAGACAGAGAGAAAGTGAGAAAGCAAGTCACCAGGTCTGGGACTCAAACGGTGGTCAGCCACGTGAGAGTCCACTGCCTTAACCACCCTGCCACCTGTCAGCCCCACAATGGCTTTTGAGAGGAGACATATATTTGCAATAGATTTTGGAGTAGAGATAATGAACTTGCTAGCAGATCTGAGAGCTCTGTAGGGAGAGCAAAAGTAAGGGGCCAAAGATACTATAATACCTATACTACTAGGTTTCTGGACTAAGTACTGGGGTCGATGGTAGTGTCGCTTACTTCCAATGACAGCAAAGTAGAGAATTTGACTACTTGTGTCAAAAAAAAAAAACAAAATAAGAATATGATGACATTTTTTCAGCACAGGAACATTTGGATTTAGGGTTCTACGACTGTTTCCTATTTCAGAGTCACTCCACCACTTGGAAGCACAGACCAACACAGGATCCAATCCACTCAAGTCTCAAGAGTGCACTGCTAAAGAAGCAACAACAGTTGATGACACAGTCAACGCCTGGGCAGACGTGGCTTATGTAGGGCTCATACCTTCATGGATTTCTTCAGCTGTTTTGCATCGAACACTGCTGGTGGAGTCACGAGGGCCACCATAAGACATTTAAAGTGGCCAGAAAGATCACCCTTCAAGTCATCTTTCAGCTCCTAAAACAAACAAAACCGAGAAGGAAAGCATGAAGTATTTTACCTTTGTCCCTCTGTAAAGTCATCTAGTGAAAGATGAACACATGTGACAGAATCAGAGGAAAACATGCCCCTCCACAGGGCATAAGAAATGTTGAAAATATTTCTACGCAGATTAATCTGCATTTTATGAGTGCTTCTAAACAGCCTGTTTTATAGAGGCTTTTTCAAGGACAGCCAAGGAGAAGGATTATATGAGCCAAAGTCAGCACTGTGTATTCAGATCCTGGGTCCCTGGTGCTTTCAGTTCTTGAGTCAGAGTGAGGCAAGAGGAGGAGCCCTTACAAATTCACACCAGGGGCTGGCAGGTGGCATGATGGATGGGGGCACTGGACTCCCACATGGCTGTCCCTGGTTTGTGTCCCAGACCTGGCAGCTTGCATTCTCACTTTCCTTTTCTTTTTCTGTCTCTGGTCAAATTAAAAAAGAACAATGACAAGTGGAATTAAATAAATAATTCTTAAAATATAAATAAATAAATTCACACCAGCTTCATTGGTAGATGCTCTATTCCTGGGCAGCTTGCTTCTCAGTGACTGCTAAGGAATTTCGAAGAAAAAAGTAAAGTTGGGACCAACAGTTGGCGTAATGGTTATGTCACTGGACTCCCATGTAGTCAACAGCAATTCGAGTCCCAGACCCAGTGGCTTAAACTCACACTGGGCGCGTGTGCATGCGTGCCCAAGATCTCGAGAGGAGAATGGAGGAGAAGGGATTGTGGCATGGTCATCCCCCAGGGGGTGATTTTTCACTTTCTGTCTCTCTGTCTCTGTCTGCCTGGTGAGCACATGTGCCCTATAGCAAAAACCTCTCCAAAAAAATAGAGTAAGGTTAGATGGTAGTTGGGTATTTGCCTGTGGTAAGAATGTGGAACCAGTGGCAACACAAGTAGTTTTCTGGCAACAGCTGCAAAGGGGAAGCCTATGCGTGGTAATGGGGTGGACGCCATTTACTGACGTCATCCTTTGGCACTATTTTCCTACATTACATGGGTATGGTCCATCTCTTCTGCTTAAAGACAGGTAACATGGTTTATAGTTTCAACCTTGAGAAGAATGGCATTGAATATTATCCCCTGCTCCTCTTTCCAGCTCTGCCATGGAGGCGGGCAGTGTTCCAGACTGCCGCGATGATGTGGGTACAGACCAGCTCATACACTGCCAGGGCACCCATGAGAGAGCATGTTCATGCAGGAACAAATGGGATGAAGCCAAATGCCACTAGTTTGGCTTTAACTGCCACCAAGTTTATCTTTCTTTTTCTCTTTTCTTCTCTAAATGCTAAATTCCACCTCTACCTGGCCTCAACCCAAGACTTTGCAACTGAATCTCATTTCACATGCCCTCATTCTATTCCGCTGGAGACATGGGCGCTGTCCTGCCTCCACATTTGGGAAATACTGAAAGGCCAACCATCACTCATGTTTCCTCTGTGTACAACTGTGTCGTCTTGCCCAGAGGCGTGGCAATTCACTTAATTCGGCAGAGTTTTACTGGGCTCCTGCTTTCAGCTTGGCATTTACCAAGAAGTTAGACAAAACCCTTATCCCTAGGAGATTATGCCTTCATAGGAAAAACAGAAATATTTAAAGATGAAATTTTGCCAACCAGGTGGCATGGAGGCTAAGGTGGCTGGATCCCATATGGCCAACTGTGTGGTTTGAGTCCTAGATCCAGTGGCTTGAAAAACAGGCTGGGCACGTGGGCATGCATTCTCAAGATCCAAGAGAAGAATGGAAGAAAAAGGAATGTGGTGTGACTATCCTTCCTAGGGGGTAATTTCTCACTTTCTCTTTTTTTCTGACTGTCTCTTTCAACAAGTACATATATATACCCTACAGCAAACTAAAAAAAGGGGGGGGGGAATCTGATATAAGAGGTGAAGTATCTGTTTTAGGAAGCTCAGAGAAATGTGTTTAATGGGGTCTGGTGGTCTGCAGAACAGGTAATATCTGTCTGAACTGCCTTTGCATGGTCACTACACACACTTGATAGTCCAACTAGTCTGACTCCAGCCATTCCCCTTCACAGTTCACTATCCACAACAGCTGAAATAATCTCTTAAAAATAAAAGTTGAATCATCTTTCTGCTTACAAAATTCTAATAGTTCTATTTTGTTCTTGGAATAAAATCTAAACTCTCTCCCAAGACCTAAGGCCCGGTATGTTCCAAGCCTCCCTCCAGCTTCCTCTGTCCTTTTGCCTCCCTTTGCTTTGCACCTTCCTGCCAAATTAGAATTCTTTTCGTTTCTCAAATATTCTCAGCTTGTTTCTGCTTTAAAGCTTTTGCATATACTGTGCCTTCTGCTTGAAATGCTCCTCCCCCAAGCCAGTCATGGACTGGTGGTTAAGGTGGCTGGATCCATGTGGATCCCACATAGTTAAGTGCACAGTTCTAATCCCAGACCCAGTAGCTTGAAAACCATGCGGGGCACATGTGCGTGCCCAAAACCCCAAAAGAAGGGAGAAATGGAAAAAAGGGGGTATAGTGTGACCATCCTATAGGGATTCTCATCCTACTCCCTTCTCCAGTGAGTGCACATGTCCTTTGGCAAATTAAAAAAAAAAAGGTGGCCGGTGCCCCCCCCACTCCCGGGGGCGGGGGGGGGGCACGCGGCCGGGGGCTCCCGCCCCCCAGCGCACGCAAGCACCCCCCCCTGCCC